CGATACCCGATCCGAGAAAAATGGCACTATCGGAGCCGATACCCGATATGAATATCGGATCGGCGCATCCCTAGTGTCAAGTGTCTGAGGCTGGCATGTAAGACGGAAAGTTTTCTGCACAGAATAATCATTCACACTGTGTACGTGCTCCAGCAGTTCAGAGTAAGGTTCGTACAGAAGACGTTGACTCACTGGCTTTACAAATGGGTCACGACTGAATGCATCTGCCACCACATTCAACCTTCCAGGGACGTACTTGATTTTAAAATTGTACGGGGCAAGCTTTGAAACCCAGCGCTGCTCACATGCATCTAACTTAGGTTTGGTCATGATATACGTGAGCGGTTTGTTATCAGTTCATACAGTGAACTCATGGCCTTTTAGCCAGTGACTGAACTTGTCACATATGGACCACTTGAGAGCCAAGAACTCCAGTCTGTGAGCAGGGTAATTGGCTTGACTGCGGCTCAGAGACTTGCTGGCGAAGGCTATAGGACGTGCCTTATCCTCACCAGTGGGAACTTGAGAAAGCACTGCACCTAGGCCATCCAACGACGCGTCAGTGCAGAGAATAAAGGGGCGCTCAAAGTCAGGGTGAGCGAGCACGACACTCTGGACAAGGGCTCTTTTCAACTCCTCAAAGGCGACATCACAGGCAGGAGTCCAGTCTTGGGGAGACAACTCTCGGAAAGTGTCAGCTCTATTACGACTGCTTGTGCCTCTCGCCAAACGTTTTTGTCCAGCCGTCATATTGAACAGTGGCTTTGCGATTCATGAACATCCAGGGATGAAGCTTTGGTAGTACAGAACCATGCCCAGAAACAATCTTATTTTCTTTGGCGAAGGTGTAAAGCCATCCTCTTTCATGAGATCTTTCTTCTGAAAGGCAGAAATGACTGCTACCTTGTCTTCATCCACAGAAACTCCAGAATTGCTCATCACATGGCCCAGAAACTTGATGGAGCGCCTGAGAAAGTGACACTTTTTTGGAGCCAACTTCAGATTACTAGCTCTCAATCTAGAAAACACCACTTCCAAGCGTTTCAAGGCCTTCTGTTCAGAACGGGCAAAAACCAGCAAATCATCGAGATAGCAAAGGAGGCTAGAAAAGTTGAGATCTCCAAAAATGCTGAGCATCATGCGCATAAAGGATGCCGGACTGTTACACAGGCCCTGGGGAAGGCGGTTATATTCATACAATCCCATGGGTGTTGTGAACGCTGTGTAATGCCGATCAGACACATGGAGTGGGATGTTGTAAAATCCTGATGTTAAGTCCATAGAGCTGAAAAAAAGATTGCCACCAAGAGCAGCCAGGCAATCTGCCTGATGTGGTAAAGGATGAGCATCCTTGATTATCTTTGCGTTAAGCCAGCGAAAATCAGTACAGACTCTCATAGATCCATCCTTCTTCCAAACCATTACCAAAGGAGATGCATATGGGGCAAGCTTTGAAACCCAGCGCTGCTCACATGCATCTAACTTAGGTTTGGTCATGATATACGTGAGCGGGTTGTTATCAGTCCATACAGTGAACTCATTGCCTTTAAGCCAGTGACTGAACTTGTCACAAATGGACCACTTAAGAGCCAAGAACTCCAGTCTGTGTGCAGGGTAATTGGCTTGGCTGCGGCTCAGAGACTTGCTGGCAAAGGCTATGGGACGTGCTTTATCCTCGCCAGTGGGAACTTGAGAAAGCACTGCACCTAGGCCATCTAACGACGCGTCAGTGCAGAGAATAAAGGGGCGCTCAAAGTCAGGGTGAGTGAGCACAACACTCTGGACAAGGGCTCTTTTCAACTCCTCAAAGGCGACATCACAGGCAGGAGTCCAGTCTTGGGGAGACAACTCTCGGAAAGTGCCAGCTCTATTACGACTGCTTGTGCCTCTCGCCAAACGTTTTTGTCCAGCCATCAAATTGAACAGTGGCTTTGCGATTCGTGAACATCCAGGGATGAAGCTTTGGTAGTACAGAACCATGCCCTGAAACTATCTTATTTTCTTTGGCGAAGGTGTAAAGCCATCCTCTTTCATGAGATCTTTCTTCTGAAAGGCAGAAATGACTGCTACTTTGTCTTCATCCACAGAAACTCCAGAACTGCTGATCACATGGCCTAGAAACTTGATGGAGCGCCTGAGAAAGTGACACTTTTTTGGAGCCAACTTCAGATTACTAGCTCTCAATCTGGAAAACACCACTTCCAAGCGTTTCAAGGCCTCCTGTTCAGAACGGGCAAACACCAGCAAATCATCGAGATAGCAAAGGAGGCTAGAAAAGTTGAGATCTCCAAAAATGCTGAGCATCATGCGCATAAAGGATGCCGGACTGTTACACAGGCCCTGGGGAAGGCGGTTATATTCATACAATCCCATGGGTGTTGTGAACGCTGTGTAATGCCGATCAGACACATGGAGTGGGATGTTGTAAAATCCTGATGTTAAGTCCATAGAGCTGAAAAGAAGATTGCCACCAAGAGCAGCCAGGCAATCCGCCTGATGTGGCAAAGGATGAGCATCCTTGAATGTCTTCGCGTTAAGCCAGCGAAAATCAGTACAGACTCTCATAGATCCATCCTTCTTCCAAACCATTACCAAATGAGATGCATATTCGCTGATGGATTTACTAATAATGCATTGCTCTTCCATTTCAGAAAGAACCTCTCTCAACTTTTGGTAGTGGGCGGGAGGTATTCGGCGATAAGGCAGGCGGAACGGGTGCTCATCACACAGATGAATTCTGTGTACGAAGTCTTTCGCCTCTCCACAATCAAGTCTGTCTCTGGAGAAAACATCATGATAAGACACTACAAGACTCGCCAACTCCTCCTTCCATGACTTGGAGACTTCACACCCATCGATATCAATGTCCTCCAAACCATACTCGTGCAGCAGCCGCACAGGGCCAACAGATAGAACGGGCTTGGGGAGAGCAGAATCAGTGACATCATGAGGTTTGCACACGCCTTGCGTGAGAGAAACATCTTCCACTGCCAGACAAGGGGACACATCTGCCAGCTTGGTGTTACGTCGAAGAGTTATTGGAGACTGGGTAGGATTCAGAATCTTCATCGGTACCCATCGATCACCCCACATAGGAGACACAACACGTCCAACAAGAACATGACGGGGTGCTGAACGTGAAGTAGTGGGTTCAACAATGACTGTGCTACCTGGGCTAATATGAGTGTTGGCAGGTAATTTTCCCCACACAATGTGCTCACTCCTGGGAAGTAAAGTGACTGCATGACAAAGCTTCACTGAGCCAAGTTTTTCAGGTCGAGTGGAACCAGAACAACGGGAAACACAGCTCAAAAGCTCGAGAAACTGTTCACATTCTGGGTTGTTGTTTTGACAGGAAATGAGTTCCCAGTACTTCCTTTCGGCCTTCATCTTCTGAAGCACACATTTGATGACGTTACTGCCAATAATGAACTCGTCCTTCTGTCCAGGTACTAGTAAAGTAGGTACGATGAACTTAAATCCATAGACTTCGACTTCCAGGTCATACGTGCACTTAGGCTGAATAGTAAGACCACCACAGCCAACGAGGACCACGTTACCAGGAATCACTGAGGGTTGTGGGAGAA